GAACTACCTTGTTCGGTGGCACAAAACGAAAGACAGGTCACGCCACCAGTCTTTTCTGACCACTTCAACAAAAGTCCTTCAAGGTCACCAGCACTCAAATCCCCAGGAAATGTCGTAGTTATCTTTCTGTTTTGCTGGGCCCCAGTGCCTATATAAGCGCATGTTTTCAAAATAAATTTTGTAGCTTTTTCTGAGACCTTCTAGTGATGTGCTGTTTTTACCTGAGTCTTGGGGTTTTGTCATAGCAGAAATGTTTGAGATACTGGGTGCAAACGATGAAGAGGCCAACATGACCTTGCCGAGTCAGTCTCACCCGAGCTCGACGCTCGAACATTCTAAAGGCCCCTTCACACACGCGACCTCTTAGAACCTTCTAGGTTCTAAGAGGACCTTGAAACTTTTTAATCTCTCTTTCGACGAGAGCACACACTGCCGCTATCTATTGGGTAGCAGTGTAAACTTGGCGATCCGGCATATTTTCTATTTCTCTCGCGCATTATCCTTTCTTGCTTGGCTCGAAAAACTTTTGTCAACGTTATAAACGAGGCTTTCTCATAGGTATTACGCACATTTGACCTCGGAAATCCCGCAAAACCTTCACTCTTGTGAAATCCAGTTCCAGGGTCACCGCATAGATGGCACCAGCGTGCCAGTGCGTTCTGTCGTCCTAAGAAACTTTAAAGGGTTTCAACAGGTCTTGCCTCTTGCGGTCGTACTCGGTTGCAAGTGCGTGAACGAGCCTTAAGCCGAATTTTGGAGATACCGAGAGTAATAAAAAAGGAGGCCAGCGTGGCCTTGCCGAGTCTTTCTCGCGCCAGCTAGATGTCACGCAGACATCTCGGCGCTCGCTGCTGCTTTCTCGACGCTCTCAGGAACAGCGCTGTTATAATGACATGAATGTTGCCGTAACTAACATGCAATAAAAAAAAGGGGATCGGTGGCCGAGTGGGCTAGCGCACACCATGTCGGAGCACGTGGAGCGAACGCTCGTGCTGCAAAACCCAGGATACTGGTTTCAATCCTCACGCCCTGCCCGTTTCGATCTGGATGAGCATCGTACCGGCATGCGGTCGTGTATCACTACAGCCTGGTGCACGTTAAAGACCCCAGGCTAGCGGTTGTACTGCACTGGCTAAATTGCTCATCTACAACTGGGAGACTCGCCGCCCGTTGAGGCAGACCAAGTTCTAGGCTGTATAAACATTCATACAACCCAATATTTTTTCGACGCTCGTACTTTTTGTTTTTTGCACAAGTTTGCCGATTAAACTCTTAATTTCAATTTTACATTTGCCGGTCCTTTTACGTCCGCGACCACATTTAAATGAATTTTGACGCCACCGCCCCCCGCCCCCCCTCCTCCACCTCCCGGACCCCATGCATATCTAGCGACATCAAGCCCCCTCGAAAAATATTCCTGGGTGCGCCAACACTACTTTAGATTCGCTGTCAGGAAGACCAGGTGATATTGCTTTGCTATCATGGAGTGTTTCTAACACTTTTGGACAGAAAGCAGTTTCCTGCGATTTCAGATAAAAGGTCAGATAACTGGCAACAGTGAGTTTAACCACAAAGATGGCCAAAGAGCCGTCACTCTTAAGCGCACCTTTATACTCGTCACATATAGTACAAAAAAGGTCTTGCCTCATCTTCATACGCTGCAAGAAGTACAAGGTGTCCCTAAAAAATTGCACGGCTTTTTCTCCCGCAAAACTAAACTACGCATCGCCGAAAGTTCATTCTCCGCCCAGATTTAGCACTAGCGGTGCAAACCAGATGCCAAAGTTTCATAACTAAGGGCTCTCTCATTCAATAGTTCTAATTTTCTTCAATTTTTTTGGGGGGAAAATGGCAGCCGACAGAGTTCTCGAATACATAGAGTTGGGTGGACGCTTGCTACCGAAAACAGGCAAAACGGGCCCCATTTTTCCATCAAAATTTTCGAACAATCCCCCATAGGAAGTAATCGCTGGACGCCATGTTTGAGTGTGCTTAGGGCGAGCTCACAATAGTAGGCCGCTAAGACCGGCAATCTTGATCGTGTGAGATGCACGTTGCAAAAGAACTGTGAGAGCTCGCCATCAGCACACGCGCTCAGCTGTCGCGCATACAGTTATGGCCGCCAGTAAATACTATCTATAACTTTTGAATGAGTTAACGGTTAGTTCTGAAACATCGGCACCTGGTTCGGACTGCTACCGCTACTTTGGGCGGAGAATGAGTGTTTAGCAAGGCGTGCATGGTTTATTTTTGCAACCAAACAAAACAAAAAACACTAATTAATTTTATTTACACGTTTTAGTTTTTACGAGATTTGGTTGTCGGGGGAACGAACGGTGCTTTTGGCGTTTGAAACCTGTACGTCTTAGTAAAAAAGGTTGAGGTACACCTAAGCATTCCTTATGAGTTGTGAATGCGAAAGCATGCAAGCCGCTCCCCGCTCCCTTTTCCGTCTGCGGCGTATTTTTCGTCGCCGGTCGGCGCGTGTGCTCCCCTCGTGACCTTGGACGCTCCACGATGATGGACATGCTGCGCCATGGGGTGAGCGGTCGTGGAAACTGACGAGCGCAGCGGCCAATGAAAGGCCCGTCAACGCGCGCCAGCCAAAGGAACCGAAGGAAACTATCTGCCTTTTTCGCGCTTCAGCCTGATGACGTCAGCTAGTTTCATGGGACAGGTAATGCTTTCGCATTAATAACGTATAGCTAATTTAAAATGCCGTATATGTGCGGTGTCTGAAATACCCGGGTTCGATCTAAAATGGGCCGCACAAGTCGGCGCCTGCACGTAGGAATCTAATCTTTTCGTCAAAGGTGTATTTCATAAGACGGTTTTATCTTGTAAAATTAAAAGCGTAGATCCCTTTCTGTAAAAAGCAGGGACAAAATACTTGCCAGGGTCAACGGCGGACGGCGACGCCAACGACCGAGTCGAGTGGTGGGGCGCGTTTGGCGCACGTATTAATAGATGGCGCCGGGAGCAGCATCGGAAGGTGTAGCCGACGACGCGAAAGAAAGCAGACGACATGCAGACGAAATTCGCCGGCAGAAAAAGCGCCTTCGTTACGCAACCTTTTTTATAGTTTTGCTTTTATTGTTTAAATTTATTTTTAAAACGAAGGTACATTGCAAAAAGATTAGGTTCATTTTATTCAATCACGGTCGTCGCGAGCAGTCTCGATAAGGAGGTAGCGCCATCTATCAATACACGAGCCAAACGCGACCCCGCCACTCGACTCGATCGTCTGCGTCGCCGTCCGCCGTTGACCCTGGCAAGTCTTTGTTTACCCTATTTCTTTAGAGAAAAGAACCAACTCTTTGTAATTTTAATGCTAAAACCGACCTCTGATATACGCCTTTGACGAAAAGTTTAGATTGCTACGTGCTGACTCCTATTTTTACGTCCCATTTTAGATCGAGCCTGGTTATCCTAACATTTAATTCACAAAAAAAGCCAGAAATAGGTAAGGCTCCACGAAGCACCGCCCATTTTTCTTACTGCAATTCCTGGGGGGAAACGAAAAAAAGAAAACGCGTGTGCATTCTTTTTTTTTTTTTTTCTCTTCCTCGTATTACTATTACTTGGAACAACAAGCTGCTATAAAGTTGCAGGTTTCACTCGGCCTACTCTATTTTATTGTTCTGGAGGTAAGTATTTGAAAACGCGAAGACAAAAAAAAGGTAAAGATGTTTGCAAATCTCTGTAGTGCGAAATTAGAGTGCAGCTCTTGAGGAGGAGGAAGGGAGGGTACGGAGGGTAGGGTATGTCCCTCCTCCTCCATACCCTCCCCTCCCCCTCCCCCTCTGCTCCACCTCCTCCCCTCCTTCCCTCCTCTTCTAACCTCCGTCTCTCTCCCTCCTCTTCCTCCTCCATACCCTCCCCTCCTCCTCCTGCATACCCTCCCATCCTCCTACTTTGTACCCTCCCATCCTTCTCCTCCATACCTTCCCCTCCTCCCACAGTTTCCCAGCTAAATTTAGCAGGAAAATTGACGCCACATGATCCCAACACCAATTTAGTCTCCCCTTTAAATTTAGCGGGGAAAAATGACGTCACACGACTTCGTGTCACGTCACCCATGAACAAATTCAGTTTCTCCGCTAGATTTAGCGGGGAAATTTACGCCACATGACTTCAACACCAATTCAATTTCCCGCTTAATTTAGCGGGGCGGGTACGTCGTCGGCGACGGCGCTATACGCGGAAACGCCGCGCTCCAAAAAGTAAATATGGGCGCGGAGTGGCGCAACCGCCGCACCATCAACATTCACGGCAAGACCGTAGAGAGCAATCTAAGTTACTATACTTGGGCATTTTGAGATTATTTTTGACGGTGTGAAGTTTCGAACGTGTACGTGGCACGACAGTCCTCCTTTTTAATTTGAACAACGTTTTTCTGACCCTAGACACCACCAAGCTCAATCACTGGTTCTGTGGGAAAGTAGTCGTTGGCTGCATGTTTTGCGGGAAGGTAGACAAGGGTAAAGTATTTCTAGAGCGCGGTTAGGATATAGACCATTTGAATAACCGTCTTCTGCACGCGCTATAAAAAAAACAGTATGCGCTATGGCACTGAGCATAACGTAAGAACGTAAACCGTCATGCCTAGCGTCACAACCGAGCCTTTTTTTTTCTTTTTGTCTAAACATAGTTTTAGTTTCCTGATTCGAAGACATTGCAGCAACTGCCTCTCTTAAGTGCTTTGCGGGAAAGCAGACACACCTAGCTGATTTCTGAAGAGTGTAGACAGGCCGTGAACTTATTGAGCTAAACCCCGAAACTCCACTTATTGTAGTCCATGAGACCAGCTCACTGGGGCGTAAGTTAAACCCTGTGTGAAGCCTAATTTCACATTACTCAAAATCTCTAAACCATTGCCGGCATGTCCTTTATTATATCGTTGTTGTTGTTGTTTTTTTTTTCTGCATTTATTGTGTGGCATTATAGACGGACGTACAAAACGCACAATTCTTCCTCTCGATTTTCGAGAGTACACTTACGACTTGACGGATGCGAGGGCAATCGCTTGGACCAGGTTTCCTTTCAGCGTGGAACCTCGACACGACTTGGCGATGTAATATCCCAGGAGAAACAAGATGGGCGCAGCGAAGGCGTCAGCCAACACCTGCACATGGAGCGCCACCCTGTGGTAAGAATCATATACACACCATATTTTAATAATTGACAAGCGATAAGCGACTGAACGCGCATAATTCTGACGGGGTTCGCGGTTTCGCAATTGTGTCTTTGCTGTTCTCCAACGGGTGATGGCGTAGCCTGTGATTATGAACCGGGTGGCCTGTACTGCATCAATCTGGCAATGATGACACTTCCTGGAGCGAAATCAGAAGGAAGCCGAAACCAGTATCTCGAGCTACTCTTTTCTATAGTTCATCGAGCAACATTGGCGATCGCCATTTCTTGGTCAAAACACCTGCAATTAGATCCGAGTCCTCGCGGAACGCCGACGCAATCCTCGTGTTTAGTACATACCCGAAGTACGCTTGTTCAAACAATGCCGAACTTGGATATTTGGCACCTCACCTACTGCATGGCACGTATACTTTTAAAATAGGTCTATTGACCTTCCCTGCTCAAATTTTCATCTTACGCAGACGACATCGCCATGTGGTGCGAAGTGCGCCCTATCCGACATGCAAAGAACGTTCGTAATCGGCTCCAAGAGGCCATCAACATCACAACCAACGTCGTAAATATGCTTGGACAGATCTCGCCTAGCAAACCAGCGGCGCCGCTCGATTGCCCCAGGGTATGTGCTCCTGAAAAATCGAATTCGCACTTGCTGGAATTCAGGCGAAATGAGTCGTACACTGTGCTTCAGGCTGTACTTGTCGGTGACCGTGTAACTTGGAGACCGGTGGGCCGTCTGTGAAGACACATACCGCACAAGAAACAGGATCACCTGTGTTTGTGTAAAGACTATCGCCCGAAACCTTTCGCTTTAACAATAGCGACCTTTCAAAGATCCTTCGCAAGAGAGTTGCGATGCTAGCAAAAGCTAGCGGAAGCTCGTAGTGTAACATTTAGCATGGATTGAGCAAGCGCTCTTAGGGCCCTCAATCCCCAGCTTACGATTTACGAAAATTCCCTTATACTTAGAACCTCCCGTTGAATATCCAACTCCTCTCTTTCAGCCATCTTGGGTTTTGCCATCGCCGGGTAGAGACTTGCCCCGTAAAAAAAAACTCCACACTTGCCTTTCACAGTTTCACTAAACAACTGCAAAACAATAAAAAAAAAAAAAACTGTCCTCATCGGCAGTTTGTGCTGAAAAGTAATCTGCTTTCACGTTTTTATTTTTAATACATTAAAAATACTTCCCAATTTTCTCAGAATTAACCAATGAACTTTGAAACTTTTCACAACGATATGTCTTTAGGTGGTGCATTTATTCTACTCAAATTTCATGAGTGTGGGTTTCAGGAAGAACATGCAAGGCCTAAAAACAATTTGTTGTTTCCTTTTCACAAGGAATAACACGGAAAAACCCGCCTGGTTGACACTGCTACTAGCTCACAGACATCCCCAACTTTTTTGGACATCAACACCTCGTCGCATCCACTAACCTTGGAATTTCAAGTGAATCACAACAAACATTGAAATGTTCCCCGGGAATATTTTAGGTAACAGTCATAAAATGTGAATGAGCCGTAATTAAACTTTTGAACGTGTTAAGTGCTTATTCACGGCTCTGAGCTTTTTTTCTTTTTTTTTTTTTTGCATTCATTTTTATGGTTTACATTCACAAAATTGTAAATTTGTTTTTATTGACAAAAAGATCGCAATGTTCCCGAGGACTGTATTGCCTCGGTATTATAAACCGTAAATGAACAACAATTTTTATATGTTCATTGAAAAAAAAATATTTTGCGGAGTGCCTTAGAAAGTTGGCGATGTACAACCACATATGCTCGGATCTGCTGAGCCTGCTTTGAGATGTTGATATAAAAAAATAACTTTCATATTTTCTTTGATGTTTTGTGTCATGTGTGAGTATAGAAGCTCTTACCAGGTGTTTTTTATCATTTCCTTCGTGAATAAGAAGTAAGCAAGATTTTTTTAGGCTTAAATGTGTTTCCTAAGACTTGCCCTGTAATATTTTATTATCCTTAATGCACAACATGTACAAGTTACTAAAAATAAACTAAGTTAAGTTACTGGGTATTGGCCTCAAAAGTAATTTAAGCACACAAGAAATTACTCAAATGGAAAGTAATTAAGTAAATTACTAACTACCGTAAAAAGGTAGAGAATTACTTTTGAAGTTACTTTCATATTTTTTATAGCAACAAGAAGGTACATAAATGTTTTGATCCGTTAGCGAAATTCTGCTAGACAAATATAAAGCGGCTTGTGTTTTCATATAAATGCTTTAATAGCTGGTTCTGTTTTTGCGTGATTAATTGTTTTGTACTTTTTTATTTTCCGGTCATTGATTTACTGCGGGTGTATCATTTCTAATTTGAGGTTCAGCACTGCCTGAGCTTGATTTCGCAGACAGTGTTTGCTTGTTTACAGTGTTGCATAAAGTACGTCTAAAAGTACCTGAAGTAGTGTACAAAGTCAATTAGAGGTTACGTACTTCAAGTATAGTAAGTACACCGGGTGCAATGTACGTGATAGGACTATAAATACAACATACTTTTAAAGTAAAGTACAAATACGTTTTAACACAATCTTTCGTGATGCTCTTTCATACCCTTTTTTTTGACTTTATCTTAATCGGTATGCAGTGCTCGAAAAGTAATCAAAAAAGCATCTTTTTTTTTCGGAAATGGCGGCAAATATTTGATGAAGTCAAGTCACCACAGAGTAGTTGTTTTACTCTCGCTGACGAAATATTTAACACAACACACTTATAAGGCACATATTTGTATCGGTCTTACAGCCGCCATTGCTTTAATCAGAGAAATGACAAGATGAGCTTGATGAGACTCGATTTCATATATATCACAATTTAATCGTGGAGACGGCAGTGAGCGTTGTAGTCATTCTAACCCGTGTCTGCTCGTGATCATCCTCTCCTCGAGGGGCTCGAGGAGGAAGTTTTTTCTTCTTCCGCAGCCACCACAGTTACTCCCCTCGGTAGAAACGAAGTTCGATCCAACACACGCACATTGTAACTAAATGTTTTAGCACTGAACACTGCGATAAAAATATGTACAATTATTTACATCGCTAGGAAGTTTGTTAAGTCTTAATCCCAGTGCACATGCAAGTTGCGTTTCACCGAATGCAATGGTTGGAACCGACTTGCTGGTTTGTTTGCGTTAAAGTGATGTTTGTAGCTGCATTCGTCTGTATAAGCAGGTTTCAAGCTATCAGTTGAGATCGTTTCATGACGGTCCCCCCTATCAATGATAAAGAACCGGCTTTCGGTTGATGACCTTGAACGGACCTTGGTACAGCTGTTCAAGTGGCTTCTTCGTTCTATCGATGCGAACAAAAACTCGAGTACAGGTTTCAGGGTCGGGGCTGATGAAAGAAGGCTGGTTACTAACCTCCCGATGGTGCACATGGGCGAAGTTATCTGAAATGTTGTCTGAGGCGATCAGCATAGTTTCTAAAATCCTGGGCACACGTAGACACATCAGGTGACGTGCTGTGAAGAAATTCGCCAGGTAGTTGTAGTGTAGTGCCGTAAACAAGCTCAGCACTAGAGACCCCAATGTCCGCTTTGAACGTGGAACGAATTCCTAGTGTAGAACAATGGGTAGCGCTTCAGTCCAGGGGATGAAGCTGTGAGCACGCAGCGATGATTTCAGTTGTCGATGAAATCGTTCAACCATTCCATTTGTGGCCGGATGATACGCCGTTGTGCGAAGGCGTTTGATGCCAAGGAGTCGCATCAGTTCAGAAAAAGGTACGACTCGAACTGTCGGCCGCGGTCCCTAGTAACTATTCACGGTACTCCGAAACGGCCAATCCACCCTCTGACGAAAGCTTGGGCAACTGTTGCAGCTATCATGTCGGGGATCGGGACTGCCTTCGGCCATCGTATAAAACGATCCACGCATGTTAAAATGTATGTGAAGCCGTTTGAATGAGGTAATGAACCAATTAAATCTAGGCGAACATGCTCAAAACCTCCCGTAACTGGTGGAAATTTCGCGAATGGTGTTATGGTATGACCAAGGTATGACGATGAACCTTTGATTTTTGACAAGTTGTACATAATCTTGACCACTTTCGGTTATCTGTGTTTATTTTTGGCCAGACAAAACGGGTGTTGATAAGTTTGTGCGTAGCTCTTATTCCTGGAGATTTTCTTACGGAATCATCGAAGATTTTCTTGCGGAATGCGGGTGGAATTTAGGGTCATGCTGTTCTTGTTGAAAAATCTCACAGGAGCGAAATATCTGTGTACGGTGTGTTTGTTTTTTTAAGCTGCAGAGATGTACCTTGGTACTCAGTGTCCTGGAGTTGATGTTATACAATAGCCGAAAAATCAATCTGTTCGACGCCCGGTAGCTTCAAATCAGCAATATCCACTCGTTATAACGCATCAGCAACTACTTTGTGCTTTCTTTTGATGTGTCGGATGTTGGTTATGAATTTACTTATGAATGCCAACTGTCTTTGTTCTCTGCGTGTATAGGTATTGCCGTTCGATGTTACAGAAAATATCAGTGGCTTGTGCTCCGTGAGGATAAAAAATGTGCGACATTCAACGAAATACCGGAAATGTTTGACGCTGAGGCAAGTGGCAAGAAGTTCACGCCCAAATACGCTGTTGTGGGTTTCTGTCGCAGTTAATTTTTTTTTTTTTAGAAGAAGACGCAAGATTTTTATTGTCCACTGATGTGTTGTTGTAGTACTGCTCCGATGGCTGCCCCAGAAGCATCTACCATAATATCGGTTGGTGCTTCAGGCTTAGGGAACACTAGCAATTAAGGTGGCGTTGGCAATTGCAGTCTTAATGGTGCTGAATGCGGCTGAGGTTGAATCAGACCACATGAATGGAGGTTTAGAATCTCTTGGGCCGATCAATGGATCATTCAGTGGTTGGACGATATCCGCGCAACCGGGAATAAAACGGTGGTAAAAATTTAACAGTCCCAGAAACTCTCTCAGCTGACGTATGCTGGACTGTGTTGGATAGTC